TGTAAGAGCATCTCCAAGGGAGATGTCAAATACCAAGCATCAAATTTAAATTTGATGGCAGATGTGGCAATTTGATATTTACACAGTTTTACACTCCACCCGATATGTCAAATAAATAATTATTGTAACAGTCAAATCATTCAAGATAAAGAAAAAATAAAATAAAAAAGGAAAATAATAAATGAAAGTAGCAGCTAGCTTTCTTTAAAAAATAATAAAATATTCATTTGACATCTTGTTTTTGGTATGTCAAAAATAACAGCTGAACCTCCAACCTTCATTCCACATCAGCTTTGACAATTCGGTTGGAGTGATGTGAGATGTTATTTCTAGCCGTTAAATGTCTATGTGGCACTTTTGACATATCGGTTGGAGATGCTCTAAGATGTCAAATTGCTACATCAACCATCAAATTTAAATTTGATGTTTGGTATTTGACATCTCCCTTGGAGATGCTCTAACAACCAAGTGGTTAATTAACAATTTCTGATATTCCGGAATGATTTTTTAGTTGAATCAGAAAACCCAATGTGGAAGTTTCCAGGTTGATGCTTCGTTGGTGTTTATGTATGCAACTAGGTTTTCCATTTGCGGAAATGTATGCATCCATGGTTCTCCCACTAGAGAAAACATTTTCTGTAGCAAGACTAGTGCAGACATGCTTCAAAATTGTAACAAATATTCTAGTCTCGTTCAGTCTTTGGTATTATATGAAGCTCTGAACAATACAAACGTAGCATTATTCACTGATTCAGCTCTCAGCACTCAACAATTAATTATAAATTTTCTAATCATTAAAGATTAGCAATTATTAATTATAATTCATATATGAAGTTTTTCAACACGACAAACAAGGCTGGGGCTTTGGACGGGTCAGATACCTCCAAACCATGAAAACCATTGCCAAAATGGGTCATTGTCCGTATACCTTTCCCCTCTAACATCTTCCCCAACTCCATCTGACGGTCAATCAACGGGTCCCCGAAACAACCCGCAACCAAGACCCGACAACCCATTTCCCGAATCGCAACGCAACGCTCGAATTCGTTACTTACCGCCGGATTGCAATACTCATGGTCACGGTCTGCACCCACAGGCAACACCCATTTCCATGCGGCATCACAGACGCGAGGTGGCAAAATCGGGTCATCCTCCATCACCAGCTCCGACCCGGTCCTCTCGGACCCACCAAAGAACGGATGGTGCAATATCAGCCCTTTGATTTTCAGAGGGTCAAGATGATCACTCACTTCACAAGCGCGAAGCCCAGCATGGTAAGCCAGGTTCCCACCAGAACTCGAACCCATTAAGAAACAATTGGAAAGATCAGCGAATTTTGAGATCCACTCTTCTTTGGTGGTTTTAATCCAATGCAGCGCATCCACGGCGTCGTCATAAGCCGCGGGGAGGCGATGTTCGGGTGCGAGGCGGTACTCTAGGGAGACGATGAGGACTTGGAGTTGGAGAGCCATGGTTGAACAGAATTCGTGGAAGATGGATGACGTGGCACTGAGGAAGATAAAGGCGCCACCGTGGTAGTAAAAAATGATAGGGATTTGAGGGGTGGGTAAATCAAGGACCTCACGGGGTAGGAATAGTCGTACCATGGTTTCTGTTTTCGGGTTTAGGGAGATGTCTTTGGAAAGGACCCGAGTGGTTGGAGAGGACGGGTCGGGCTGGGCTGGTACGATTGGAAGTTGTATGAGACGGGTGTATGTGCCGTCTGGGTTGGGAATCAAATTGGACATGGTTCAACATAAAATCTTTTACTTCTTCTTCTTCTTCTTATAGTGGTTACCCAACAACATAGGTATTTTTTTTTCTTCTTCTTTTTTGGTGGTTTGATTTAAATAAATTATATCCTAATATTTTTTATTCACTTTTATTCTCTCCACTTACACTCAATCTCAATAACTTTTATTGAGATGGTGATGTATCCTTGAAAAATAAGTTTCGGAAATTGCTTAGCAGGTCCAAACAATGACGACTGTCTACCACATAATTTATACAAAACGTCAATTTCCTTTATCAGCGTCGTGTCGCTGTCACATGTGAGTACTACTCCACAACTAATTAATATAAGATGTCGATGGGTAATTCAGTAATTTCACATCTATTTTTATGTTGTCCTACGCCTACCACATGTATATGAATTTAATATAAAATGGGTTAAAAAGTCTTTGATGGTCCGGTAGGTGGAGAAATTTTGAATGGTTGATACTGATTTTGAACGTCTTTGACCAATTGGCTCAATTTTTAAAAAAGTAAGGTTACAATCTTATAAAATCTAAACATCACGTTACAACTTGAATTCTTGAATTTATTAGAGCTGGAATATAAAACTTTTAATAACCACAAACAATTCATGTGCCTTGGATAAAACGACCCACCACTTGCACACCCTTTTCCTCTAGCATCTTCACCAACTCAATCTGACGGTCCATCAGTGGGTCCCCATCACAGCCACTTACCAAAACTCTCCATCCAAGCTCCTTTATTTCATCCAAGTGCTTCGAACCGCCACCCACCGTTGGATTGCAATACTCATGATCACGGTCAAACCCACGAGGCAATGACAAGTCCCACATCAGATCACAACAACTTTGCGGCAAAACGGGGTCCTTGGCCATCCTTAACTCGGAGCCACTTCTCTGGGTCCCACCAAAGAATGGTTGCTGCAATATTAGCCCTTTGATCTTTAACGGCTTGAGATGGTCAACGCCCACAACTGCACGGAGTCCTGCGTGGTAGGCTATGTTACCTCCAGCACTGGATCCCATGAGGAAACAATTTGACAGATCAGCATAGTCCTTCAACCAGACGTCTTGCGCGGTTTTGATCCAGTGCAACGCTTCCATTGCATCGTCATAAGCCGCCGGGAGCCGATGCTCAGGAGCCAGCCTGTACTCGACGGATGCAATGACCACGGGCACGTCAATAGCAAGATTCACACAAAAATCATGGAAGATGGTTGCGCCTGCACCGAGTATTATGAAGCCTCCACCATGGTAAAATACCACGAGAGGTAGCTTGGTAGTGGGCGAGGGGGATTGATCCAGTAGATGGCGGGGTAGGAACAATCGAACCCAGGTGTTTTTTGATTGGTTGACGAGGATGTCTTTAGAGAGGACTGGGGTGGGAAGCTTGGAATCACAAGTGGGTGGGCTGTTTGGATATTCCGCCAAGCGTGTGATGGTGCCGTCCGGATTGGGTGCAATCTGGAGGCGATGGTAAGGATCAAAGGTGGGATTGGAATCGGACGCTGCCGTTTGATCGGCCATTGTAAGTTAATGGAGCGAGCACACTGAACTTAAGTGAAAAGTCTTCCCTTTGCGCATGGTTGTTCCTCCATCTACCTGAACCTTTTACAAGTGCTTGGTACTTATGTGGGCCTGCTTGTTTATAGGTGGAGGTTTGTTGGGTCTGGGCTTACAGATGGACCGAGGTGGGTTGAAAACCCTTAATTATTATATGAAGGCTTTTGTTTAAATCAATATTATTTATTTAAAGCTGTGTGTCACTGTCGGACCAAAAAGAGACACAATCTTGGAGCTGTGTACGGTTTATGCGACTCAAAAAAGGGCGTAATTGGCTGATAAAATTAAGTTGCAAAAACCACAGGAACTATATGAAATGTTGATTGGAATAGTTGGGTTTATATTGGGGCAATGAAGCCAAAATGGAGACACATTGGCCCCACAGGGGACAGGGCAGAGCAACTAGAAATGTATGCACCCACCCAACCCATGACCCATGACCCATGGTTCTCCCACTAGAGAAACATTTGCGCTCATTCTGTAGCCACATATTTATACTGTTGTTGTGTTTGGATGATAACTTTCATGCGTTCCATTACTTTTCAACCTTAAAAGATTGCTAGCCTTTTTTTCGGTTTTTTGTTTTCTTGTTTTTCCCAAAGGTAACCAGGCTTGTTATTCATTGGAAATCTTGGTGGAAGACTTTTTCGAGAATTATTCATGTGTTCATGCGAAATTAAATACAAATTAATAAAGAGAGATGCAGTGTTCTTCTAGGTTAAAGATTTCGAGAGAAGAGGATATATATATATATATATTGTGCATGCCATGTCCAAACAAAACAATGCCTTATCCTATATAATATCCTATACCAATACCAAGCCCACTTCCCAGACCTACGTACCAATCAAAACTGTAAATAAACCCACTGCTACCTCTGGCAATGATACCCATCAGTTTTCAGTCTTTCCAACTGCATTTCCTCACCCTTGATTTGATGGAACTAACCGTAGGAGCTGCCTCTGCACCCAGTAGCGGCAGCTGCAACAGCCGCCATTTCACCTCCCCAACACACACCCTGAAAAACCCAACCATTTTCTTCATTTTAAGGTATCAAATTTAAAAACCCTCCACATAAAAAAGTACAAAAACTTTAACAAACCCCAATTCATTAATCATAATAATAAATACATAATAACAATAATTTGTTTAGAGAGAGGAGATAGAGGGTCACATCAAAGCCCCACCAGCTGTGGCTGACTGCAGCTGCAGCAGGTGGTGGTAACAATCGGCTGCGGTCGGCCTCTGCTCCGGGTTTTGATCCAAACACCGATTTTGAAGCTCCCTCAGCATCTTCGGCAAGCCTGTCAACCCACAGCTCCTCACCAAATACCCCACTCCCCACACGTCCACTTTCACCCCATGCAACCCCCTCTCCATCTCCGGTGCGTGCCTCACACGCGCCCCCGACTCCCCCGCCGCCACCGCTCGTCGTGGGTATATCTGTGGAGCCCCCACCGCCTCCTCAAACCCGCAAACAAACCACTCGTTCTCCCTTTCCGTTCTCCTCATCACTTTCTCCCAGCTTATGTCCCTGTGCATGAACGACAAGTCGTGCAGTGCCACTAAAGCTTTGGTCACGTACTTGAGCGCCTCCACAAGCTGCTCACAGTTTGTAGGCTTGCACTTGCACCCTCTTGGCTTGAACACCAAACCCAAATCTTTTTCCAACGACCTGTGGATAAATTCTGCATGGGGTATTCTGTGGTCGAGAAAATCGTAGATTTCTTTGACCGCGGTCCATTTTCGAACGTTGGAGAAAAATCGAGTCACCGTAGTTGGTGTCATTTCGACCATGTTTCTTCCATTACCCGAGTCAAGTCTCTCGAAATCACTATGGGGAAGCAATTTGTTGCAATTGGTGTTGTTGAAGCACCGATCGGCTAGCAATGGCAATAACCCGGCAATTCGATAACATGGGACTAGGGCTTTGAGTCTCTCTGAGGGTGAGGACAGATCAATGGTGGCTAAATCAGTACGATTTATTCGATCTTGAGATCGGCTTAATGCACAAAATGTCACCACATAACCAATTGCATAGTAGCCGAATATGTATGGAAGGTCCATGTAGGTCCATAAGATTTTCTCAACGATTGAGCTAGATGGGTTCATGTCATGGCTGTCTCTTAGTTGATCGGTTTCTTCTCCTCTCCATAAACAAAAATTTCGAACAAACCCCGTCACGTTCGGCCATTGATCTTGTAAGGGTTCGGTTGGTGATGAAGTGTTGGGCCTGCGGATGAAGACCATTTCGAGTGAACAAAATTTGGAGACGAGCCTATTGATGCAGTCGTCCCAAATGGGAATGAAAGAGTCTCTACTTGTGGCAGTGGACGCACTGAGACTGGGGTTTGTTCGGATGATGGGGCTAAGGATATCGCATGTGATGGCTCTACAGTCTAGCAATTCGGTTGAGGTGGTGAAGAAGATTTCTTTTCCTTGTGGTAAGTCGCGGTAGACGTCTTTTCGGAGTGGGAAGCGGAGTTCCTCCGGAGGCGGCTCTTGTAAGTACCATTGGAGCTCGGGTAAGCTCGGAAGCGATGGCGGCGAGGCTCCAAGACATCCCACGTAGTACTCAGTTGGGTCTTGAAATTCGGTTGAAGGAATAGCTGCAACAAAGCACATGCATATAATAATAGTAACATTAACCAAACCAATGTGCAATATAAAAGTTGATCACATAAAATGATCAAACTAATTCAATTTGGTTTTAGGACTTACATCTTGAAGAGGATTCTGGTAAGGAAAGCTGGACTTTTTCATTGAAGCCTAATTGGCATTAAATAAAAATGAAGTGTTTATATGTGGAATAAAGCAAAGAATTTTTTGACATGGGAATATCAAATTAAGAGATGCTATCAATTTTACCAGAAGTAGATGATGAAGGCTTTCTTCTGCCAAAGACTTTGACTTGTTGTCCAGACACAAACCGATCAACGGAAAAGCCTCTAAGAGGTCCATCTTCAAAGGCTTCCATGGTGCAAGCAACCATGGAATCATCAAAGAAAGTAAGCTCGTCGGCATTCAAGAAGCTCGAGCCTTGGAGCCTCACTCTCCCGCGGTGGTGCTCACCTTCTTCAGCCCACAAACTCACTGATTCTTCCCATGTCATTCGAATCTTTCCAATTCGACGAAGCTCCTTGGAAGCAGAAGACGAAGAGAGGCCTGCAGTGAAGTCTAGGGAAGACTGATCATGATGATGAAACCCTAGCAAGGTCCCTCTTCCTCCATGGTAAAACGGTTCCCCTCCTCCGCTCATGATCATTACCTGCTTCTTGCTACCTGCATATATGATAAGAGAACACTATTATATCAACCCATTGTTTAAAAAGAAGAAGAGGTAAAAACAAAACCAAAAGTAAAAATAAAAATGATAAGAGAACTATTATATACTCCATTGTTTAAGGATGATGGAACTATTATAAATATATATATGTTTGTGGACAATGTACATAACATACTATCAGATGATATATACCTGAGAGAGGGAACTCGTCTTCTTTGAAAGAAGGCGGTTGGGTTAGACTTCTTGTCACAACAAAAGCCGATCGACTATCGTCCCCAACTGAGCCTAATCTGCTCTGAGGTGTTCTCATTCTAGACCCCATGAACTGTGAAAGTTCCTCAAAAACCTCTTCATCAAAAGAGGCAGGCAACCTATGCAGCTTTCTCTCGTAGGGCGAAAGCCTAAAATAACTCTTCCCAACTTGTTCTCTCTCAGCCCCTCTCTCCCACTCGTAGACTTTTCTAAACTCTCCCAGCATATTATCCCACTTGGTACCTGCAGTTTTTGCGTCTCTGTTGACTCCATGCTTTTGAAGAAACTCAGCTACTTCCCTATCCTTATCAGCTCTTGTTTTGCTTCTGGTGTGAGGGGTACCTGTCTCTGTTGGTATTTGCTCTGTTCTCGAAGATGAGCCGGACCCATGATCTGAAGACCCACCAGCTGGCCCACCTTGATATTGAATCCTCCATCCCCTGGCCAACCACAACATCTCATTTGGTTTCCAAACTGGGCTGACATACTTTCCCTTTCTGAATTGATGGTTGTGCACTGGGTTTTGAAGATCTCCCTCGGTCTTGTTTGTGTCCTGCCCTGAGGTTGCGGATAGTGAAGGCAGAGGAGAGTGGGCCGGTGGTGATGAGGCTGTGTCTGAGGAGGAAGCTGCTCCGGTAGGTGTAACATGAGGTTGGGGTAATTGGGTACTCTTTGGGTTTGGGGATGAGGTTGATTCTTTGGCGAGCATTGGTATTTGGGTTTGTTTTGTCTGGGAAGAAGGAGAAGGTAGGAGCTTCCATTGCCCTGTTGTATATCTAGGTCTCTTGGGGTTCACAGCTGCCTCAAAGTGTTGCTGATCAAAGGGTGACGAAGATGAAGTTGCTGCACCACTTGGAACAAACAAAGGAGCAGGAATATTGAATGTGGCTGCAGCCGGTGGAGGCTGCGGTTGATGGTGGCGTGGTCTTGTAATTTCTGTTGGTAGTAATTGATCTTCAAGGGGGTCGTTTGGAGAAGGTGAAATTTGTTGCTGTTGCTGTTGCTGTGTTTGTTGTTGTTGTGGCTGCTTCTTGCTTGTATCCCCTTTGTTGTCACCCATCTCAAATGGGCCCAAAGTATTTTTTCTTTTAAAAATACTTAAATGAGTTTAGGTAAAGAGAAACCTTAGACTTAGAGAAGAACTAGAACAAGATAGAAGAAAGCTCTACCGTTAGTGTAGGGCTGTAGAAGTAGAACTAGTTTGGTTTTATTGTTCCAGCTTTGAACTTGGAAAAAAAAAAAGTTGAAACTTGATCACAAGGGAAGGGAGGGAGGGGGAAGTTTTTGGACTTAGGTAACGTTGCAGCCATATCTCTCCAACAGGGAAAGAAAGAAAGTCACAAAAGAAAGTATAGGGATCATAGCCCCCAGTTAAAAGCAGAAAAAACAGAGAAAAAGCAGAACAAAAAAGTCGTGGTTGTGGAACTGCCATTGAATATGACCCTTCAGTCCATTAATCACTTAATTAAGACAACCACAAAATGATAATTCTTGATTTGTCACATTTGACAACTATACGTGCATGATTAGGGAAGGGGTCATCATTGTACTGGGACTGAAAAACGCGGCTCTAACTTTGCTTTTGTGCAAAGCGCTTTTAATGTGTTTGTTGTTTTGTGAGAGAGAG